CAGATGATTTGATGAATTGTGCTCAATATGACCAGGGTCATGAACTAATCAGGTAAAGAAAAATCAATTTTGATTTCAGGTTGACTTTATATAGTATTGTGGGTTATGACAATGGACACTGTATTCAATGCTGATGACTACAATACAGTACAGTATACTTTGCTTGCAGGGATCGTTTTATCATTTACTATTTCATTGTGCATGGAATAAGGGTTCAATGGCCAGACCTGCACTATTCTTCACCTGCACTGCTCATGAAGTGGACCAAAAAAGCCAGGAGGGATTCTCACCAGGGCACGCAACTGTGGGAAACATAGTCCCAACCAGCCCAGCAATCAGTACTACCTCCAGCCATAGACTTGAAGCCATGTGACTGTAGGCAGGGAGGCTGATCGGTTGCAAGCACCACACGGCAAAGGTCGTAAATCCAATCCCATCATGTGAATATTTCATTCACCTCGAGAAAAATTACTTTCTTGAAATTGCCAGTAAAACTCTATCATAGCGCTGCTATATGTCAGGGAAACGTTGGCACCTGCAAATTGAAGTTAGGGGAAGTGTGGATTGGAATGGAGGTCTACCCTCTCGCAGTGTGGTGGTCCACAGGGACCAATGAGTCATTGCTGGAAAAAGCAGCGAGGCTTTTTAACGCAGCACAGAGTCTTAGAGAAGTAATAATGCAAGTGCTTAAAATGGGACACCATCCAAAGGGACACCATCCCATTTTTGCAAACATAAGAGCCAAGATAAGATAATGCACAGAATTCATAATGAACTGAAGATGAAAAACCATCAGACATCTCCATGGAGCGTGTGGTGTGAGAGTGACAGAGAGAAAGGGGGAAGGATGGGGGTGAGAGAGAGATGATCTCTCTTCATCAGCCAGTGACATTTCCAAGCTTGCACACTCCATTCAGTGCACTTACCGATGCCACGCTTCAGGAACATGAATGAATCGCTGAAGGCACTTTGCCACACGCACGATTAAACTCACAGTACGCGTTACCATGAATTTTCAAAAAGCCAGTGTGCTATTTACTGTCTGACTGAACTATTTATCACATTCACTTCAGATATCAGTGTTTAAACTGGGCACCGCAGCTGTAAAATTAGCACTAATGACGTTTCTGTTTATCGTGTAGCTCTGAGGATCTCTGAGGCCTGCATATGCATTTTCAAATGCCACGTACACAAGCCAGATGACTCAGACCCCTTAGATAATAGACTCACACTCAATCTGTCTCACACACACACTACTATACTCCTATATTAATGTCTTTCTGGGAGTTTTCCTCTGAAATGCATTCCTCTTGTAGATAGACAGAGTTAAGACTAGTGACAGCTAAGCCTAACCCTTCTGAAAAATCAGATTTACAGTTTTCCATCTTTCTTCAAATGAAATCGATCAGCCAAGACATGTTCAGTGTCTAAAGTTTGCTTCTTTAGCTTTCACACTGGAGCTATGTGGCTAATGTAGCTAGCAAATAGAGAAATTAGCCATGCAATTAGCACAGCATTAACAGCACATCATCTAAATCATCACACACTTGACTCAAGCCATGTGAGGTTGTTCAGTAATCTAATAATACTTGCTTTTGTGGTTTCTGATGCTGTATGACACACTCCTATCTATAAAAATATACAAACGTATGTTAGCATAGCTAAAATAGTAGTAGCAGCCATTCTGAAGCCTGAATTCTGTCAGTGCTGTCCTTTTTTCCAGACATTTTGGTTTACAACATTTGGGATAAGGAGGAAATAGTGTAAATTTGATTTTTGATTTTTTTTTACCTCGCAAAGTGCTAACAAATTGTACTTTTTCAGTACTTAAAGTTCAATTTTATGGTTTTTGGTGCTTAAGATGGCTACCAACAGGATCTAAAGGTACTCTACGGTGTTTTTCTCTGTCTTTGCTAACACTTGCAGCTAAGAATTTACCAAATTCTTTACCCTTCCACATGAATATAAAGTCACCAACCACTATTGTATCAGCTCACTGTAAATACTGTTATGCTAACTAGCAAGCAAGATGGCTAATTAACATTCAGCCAAAACAGACACGTTAGAAGTGTCATGTGTAAATATATAAATATATAACTAAAAAAACTTATATAAAAATATAGAACTAAAAAGACAGTTTTTGAGACAGGTAGGAAAAGAATCCAGAACTAGAACCGCAGATAAGCAAGAGGACATCCGGTCACTGTTGGCCCGCTGGTGGCTAAGCTGGTGGCCCACTGGCTTTTTGCTCAGTATTTTCCTGCCGTCCCACTGATGGTTAAGCAGAGTATTAGACACAATGCCAGCGCTCATTGTGTTCATTGTGCTCACAGTTTATATATTTTTACATATATCTTTCTTTTATTATCCTCTGTAAATTAATTTAATAACTTATTTTAATAGCAATATCATAAACAAAGCCAGCCATACAGTTGTAACCAATCCAGCACAGTGTCAGCACCAACATTTTCAGCAAAATCACTTTATATCAGGTTTTGTAAGTGTTTTCTCTCAGTAGTTTGTAATATCTGTCTCTTTCCAAATTCTAAGGTTACATGCATTTAAAATCTGTTGGAGGAGATTAAAAACTAGACCTCGTGTGCATGACAATAAACTGGGTGGTCCGAGGCTGGACCACTAGTGGCATACAGTCAGCAGGGTGCCAACCATATCAAGTCAGCGGACCACCATATGCTTGCTATCTAGGACCATTGTTTCCTGTTTGAGTGAGTTCTTGCTCTTTCTGCAGTGAAAAACAACCAAAATGGAACCCTTTTTCTCAAGTGTCGGCTACAATGTCAAAACGTCCATGTTTTTCCGCTGTTTAGACAATTGATCTCTCAAAAAGACAGTGCACACATACACCCACAACACAGCAGGTTAATCACACCACGCTCGAGCCAAGCCAGCAGGCGGGACACAGCTGCTGAAATATGAGAACTGTGTCAATACTCCGCAGTAGAGGTCCAGCTGGAGGCATGAACTAATAAGACGTTACTATGATTGATCGTAATTTAACCCATTTTGTTACTCGGTGCTTGAAAACGAAAGGTGGCGTCCCCGTTATATTACGCGCTCTGCCGTCGGCCTGTTGGGTGAAACGTAATGACGGCCATAAAAGACCAGGGAAGCCCTTCAGCATCCAACAAATCATGCTGTCTTTCTTCTGCACCATAAAAGTCCATAAAAAAACTGGACAGCGCCAGACAAGGCGTTGATTAAACCGGGCCCCAGCCTTAAAAGACCTTTCAGGATCGGGTGGGGGTCAAAGTGTTACGGCACACTGAGAAAGGAAGGCCAATAAAAGAGGACAAGGTAGAACTGGAACAGTTCAGACTGAAATCACAGTTTCACACCTTCCTCTTATCTCCATTCTGAGAATAATAAAACGTGCGCTTCGCCCAGAGAGCCGACTGACCTGCCTTCGCCCAGAGAGCCCACTGACCTGCCTTCGCTCAGAGAGCCGACTGACCTGCCTTCGCCCAGAGAGTCCCACTGACCTGCCTTCGCTCAGAGAGCCCACTGACCTGCCCAGTGCTCACAGGATAGGCGAGCTGCTCCTGTTCACTCGTCTTTGGTTATTTTCCATGTAGACATGTTTACTTCATCGCCCTGTTTACTTGTTTTCATGTTTTTATATGTTTACTTGTTTTCAATTATTTTGTATGCTTTACTTTAATACAGTTAACCTACAGTCTTAATAAAGATTGTTCTTCAAGGGTTCTTTAGTAAAGGGAATGGTTCTATATAAAATCACAAGTTCTACATAGAACCACACTCTTAAAAAAATGGTTCTTCAATGGTTCTTTAGTAAAGGGAATGGTTCTATATAGAAGTATGAGATCTATATAGAACCAGACTCTTAAAAAAAATGGTTCTTCAAGGGTTCTTTAGTAAAGGGAATGGTTCTGTATATAAATCTATATATAAATCACAAGTTCTACATACAAACACACTCTTAAAAAAATGGTTCTTTAGTAAAAGGAATGGTTCTATATAGAAGTATGAGATCTATATAGACCCACACTTTAAAAAAAAAGGTTTGTTTAAGGTTCTTTAGTAAAGGGACTGGTTCTATTTAGAACCACACTCTTAAAAAAGATGATTCTTCAAGGGTTCTTTAGTAAAGGGAATGGTTCTATATAAAATCACGAGTTCTACATAGAAACACACTCTCAAAAGAAATGGTTCTTCAAGGGTTATTTAATTAAGGGAATGGTTCTATATAAAACCATGAATTCTATATAGAACCACACTCTTAAAAAATGGTTCTTTGGTAAAGGGTATGGTTCTGTTTAGCACCATGAGTTCTACATAGAACCATTTCATGCTTAAATGGTTCTTTTTTGGTGAAATGGTCCTTCAGAGTGCTGGACAATGTATTGTATATGGTCCTACACAGAACCTTTGCAAAAATCCTTCTATATAGCACCCAAATATGTTCTCCTGTTGTTACAAGCTTGACACTGTTCCAATAGCAGAACCCTTTTGGTGTTATGTAGAACCATTTTCAAAAAGGCTCTATATAGAACACATTCTCTTTCCAAAGAACCATTTAATTTCAGCAGGTAAAGGTTCTATACAGAACTAAGCAGACCCATTCCCTTCACTAAAGACCCCCTGAAGACCCATCTTTTCTAAGAGTGTTTGTAAAAGTGCCTGCTCGTACTCGATTATTTCATACAGGAGCGTTTGTTTACATACGTTTTCATTATGTTCGATTATTTTCCTGTAAAAATCTTTACAAACTTCATTTATTCTATAAGTAAAAGTGCTCGAAAGTGACTGTTTCGACTATTTTCCAACAGAAACGTGCACTTCTGGTCGAGCTGTTCTCCTGAGGCGCTGCTCAGTCGCGCTCAATTACTGTTCGTGTAGAAATGTTTACTCCTGTTCGATTATTCCTCCACCGAGCTCAGCCGACCTGCTCGATTATTTTCCCACAGAAATGTTTACTTTGTGCTCCTTTATTCCCCTCGTAGAGAAAAAGCAGCACCCACCTCCTTCTTCACGTTCCTCACCAGCTTCTGGCGGGTTTCTGCCTCTGCGGAGGAAACGGAGGAGTTAAACCGGGATTAATCGACTCGATTACGACTCCGAATCGACCTTAAACGCTCCATTTATTAGTCTACCGGTGTTTTTCTTTGTTTTCTCGGTTGTTTCTCACCTGTCGTTGCCATGGCTGCGCCTCCTCTCCTCTCCGCGCGACTGAACACTGAGCGGATGGAACAGCAGACTCTCGCAGCACCGCCCCTTCATCTCCATACCCCGCCCCTCTCGGGCCGGCCACGCCTTTTAAAGAGACACACACCACTACATTACGGATTAAAGGAGAATTCTACTGATTATTCAAACTTTCTGCAAAATGAAATGCTTTGAATGTAAACAAAGTAATTCAGATTTTCTCCTGACATGCTGCGTTCTAGTGAAACATGCCGAGTCTGAATTGTTCACAGTGGTGGTGATAGGAACCAGACGTCCCAGAAAGTAAGGATCTTCTTTGTTGATTCAGTTATGAATACAGTGCCTGAAACTTTGTTTTGCAAAGAAATACATGCAGATAAAATAGTCACCAAAGAAAACTTATTTTTTAGACTTTATAGAATTTAAAATATACATTCATGTAAATTGTGTACAGCTGTGTAAATTTCAAACATTGAACATATGCATAATATATCGATCATACATATAGCCTATGCCTGATAGGAGGGTAATATTTGCATAATATATGGGTCATTCATGTACATCTGATACATGGTTGAATACATCCAAGTACAATTATAATACTATGTTATGTGTTTGCATTCAAATATTAAATAATTTTAACACATATATATACATATATAAAAGTAAAGTATTTATAAAGTATTTAGGTGGTGATGTAGACAACTACATACATGAAAATGTATTATCTTTGCAGAATAGTCTTTCTTACCTTTAACTCGTTCTGCAAGGATTCATTGACATTTAAACGCATTTTAATATTTGTATCCACATGAACATCAGATCTGTACATATAAACCTATGTATAAATACTCCCAAATGGGCATACATGCTTCCTGGTTTAGTTATATATATTGTACATGTTGTTTCATTTACTTGTTGTATTTCTTGTTGAAGACCTATCCAGGAAAAGGTGAGTACATACTAAGTATATAACATAATTACATTTAGATATGTTGTATTTCATGTAACAATATTCACCCCTGTGAAATAAAAACTCCCCTTGTTTGTTAATTGCTGTTAAAAGGTTTCTGTTTTTCTCTCTGATGAATCTTCCAGGATGTGCCACTTCAATCCGTGACATGTCAATTTACACAGGAATTGTTGTGCAAACATCATACATATGCTTATAAAAGCTAAAGAAGGTTTTGACAGCAACTACTGTTCTGCCACTGAGACAGAACCCTCACATCACTGGAGTGAAACCCTCACATTACTGGGGTGGAACCCTCACATCACTGGACTGGAATCCTGACACCACTGGAGGGGAACACTCATAGAGCTGGAGTGGAACCCTTACATCACTTTAGTGGAACACTAACATCACTATAGTGGAACACTAACATCACTTTAGTGGAACCCCTCACATCACTGGAGTGGAACCCACACATCACTGAAGTAGAACCCCTCACATCACTGGAGTGCAATCCCTCATATTGCTGGACTGAAACCCTTGCATCACTGGCCTGGAACCCTCACATCACTGGGCTAGAACATTTGGAATCAGAACATTTACTTCGGTGTTACTTCATATCAGATTGAAAAGAGAATTTAGTGGTCTTGCTGATCCCTAATCGAAAGTTGTCAGGTCTCAGTATGGGGGGCCAACTGGTCCGACAGCAGGGAGAACCGTAACGACAATGTTCTAATAATGTAAAGCAAAACCAGACTGTTTCTTAGTACTGATGGCTGCTTGTTAGTTGGAAAAACACTACATGTACAGTTAACATTTTATATTATTGCATCCACAAATTCTTTTCTTTGGCCAAAAGATTCATTGTCTTGGTGGCCCAAGTAGCCAGTGCAAATTTTTATGGCTGGAGAAAACTGTACTTTGAAAACTAAACTTTAAGTTCTCGGCTTGATCCGATCTGACTAAACTCAATAGTTTGTTACCAGATCTAGTTTACTAGTTCCCAAGTTGGCCTTGGGTTGCCTAGTGAGTAACACTGTTAATAGCTACATTAATTACCCTTTTAAAAACTGAAACACTGTGAATGTCAAGTAGTTTGTTGGTGTTCTGTTGACTTGTGAGGATCAGAGGAGATCTGCTGAAACTGGATGCGGAGATTTTGGCTGCGAATCCAAAACGAGGCTGCAGTAATCAGACGTGTTGCCAGGCAACCATACAGGGCTGATTAGGAGTGTGCTCCTCAGTGGAAAAGGCCACCAGTGAAATGAAATTCACATAATCGAATTTCACTGAGATAGCGACTTCACGGCGCTGAAGAGAAGAACCACATGATGACAGCATTAGCATTATTAGCAAGCCTAACCAGGCTATATGAAAAAAACAATACCAATGAAAACATAATGAAAGTGTCCGGCCTAAATAATGTCTTTACTTCTCTGATTTTCATATTACATAAGCGGAGATGGAACAATACAGCATCTCATATTGGTGCATTATTATTGAATTAGCATCTAACTAGCAGCCCAGCAATACGACAGTGTAACACAGCGTATCTTATGACTGGCATGTTAGCTTGTGGCTGGTATGTTAGCTTTAGGCTAAGTACTGTCTTTATTTCTTAGCTTTTCAAATCACATAACTAGAGATGTAACAATACACTGTACTGTACTGAATTGTTTCACAGTGTATCGTACCTTTGTTTCATGACTAGCATGTTGGGTGACTAGTCTGTTAACCTGAGGCTAAATGTCTTTTTTTCCTCATTATTTTAGTATTACATAAGTAGGGATGTTATTTTTGAACTGTAAAGCATCAAACTAGCCGCATAGCAATACTATGATACAATAAGAACATAATGTGATGCAGCATATTTTATTTTATTGCTGTATTATGACTGCCATGTTAGCTTGTAGCTTGTTTGTTAGCTTGGGGCTAAATAATATCTTCATTTCTTAGCTTTTCATATTACATAACTAAGGGTGCAAAAATACAACATATTGTGTTGTATTGAATTGTACAACACATTATATTGTATAGCAATATAACGCATATTGTAACGTAGCATGTTTACCTGTGACTTGTGTAGTTTGGGCCTAAATAATGCCTTTATTTCTCAGATTATTATATATGTAACAATACAGTTACAATTCAAATATTACTGAAGTATTACTCAATTATTTTTGAATTGTTATTGAGTTTTACAGCATTGAACTGTACAATAAGGTTAGCAATGTAAGCAGTGTTTCTTTGCTAGTATGTTGGTTTGGGGCTGAATGGATTTATTTCTTAGTTTTTCATATTTCATGACTTCAATGCAACGCATACTGTATTTTCTGTCAAATTGTTTAGCAGCATATTGTATTAAATATCTACATAATGCTTGTATAGTTGTATCGTGAGCATGTTTGTTTATGATTAGTGTGTTAGCTAAGGGCTAAACAATGACTTTATCTTTTTGCATTATGCAATTAGGAATGTAACAGTACAGTGTCATGTTGTTACATAATTAGGGATGTAACAATGCAAAGTATCATATTGTATCAAGTAGCGTGCCGTATCGTATCATATCAATGTATCATAACTAGCATGTTAGCTTGTGGCTGGTGTGTTAGCTTGGGGCTAGCATTATCTTGTGACTATAGCATTACACAAGAACACAATGAATCTCACAGCTTTTCTTTTAAATATTGTACATTTACAATGTTGAATGTTCTAATAAACCAAAAAAGGAAACATTTAAAAGTTTAACATTAAGCATTTTTGCACACACAGTTTTTTATTGAAAAATATTGAAAAATGTCAAATCGAGACACCACAGTGGATCAAATTTTTAATTTTGTGAACTGTTGCATGTCTACACACAACACATTATATGGCATGAACAGACAGAAATGCTGTAAATGGTACTTTATTCCAGAGTTAGTCCTATAGCTTTGCCCAGTGCTCCACCTTGTGATAAGAAGGAGAATTACAACTGTGAATCTGAGTTTATTTCTGTTTCTGGTTCCCCAAAGTACATGATAATTATCTATAATATATAGTATATAATCTATAATTATAGATAACTACTCCATTTACTGAGCTCCATGTTTTTAAGTGTGATTTTGCTTGATTTGTACTTCGCTGATATTAGGCCTAACCATGAGGTTTTCCACAGTACCATTTTATTTCTATGTTCTGTGTGTAATAAACTGGATTGAGCAGCTTCTATTTAAAGGTGAACTCCACCCATTTTTCAAAATGTCTGCACAAGTCAATGGCTAAGATGTAAACAGAGTCATTTAGGGTGGTTTGGTGTGAAATGCTCTGTTTCTAGAGAAACTTACAGAGTCAGAATTGTTCATAGTGGTGGTGATAGGAACCAGACGTCCACATGAAATGGTTATGAATACACTGTCTGATATCTGAGACATTGTTGTGAGGCAAAATAGTTCCAAAAGAAAACTTAATATTTTCAGATTCATCACTATTTTACCATTATCAACATTACATATATAAACTCAGAAGACACGTGTAGGTGCACTGGTGGTTTAGGATAGTAAATAAAATGGCTATATTTGTGTTGTAGTCATGGTGACCCCTGGTTCCTATCACCACCACTGTAACGATGTCTCTACAATCAACCATTTCACACCAAAATGACAATGATTTTCATAGCTGGTCACCACCAAAACCAGCATATGTTGTGTTTTGGATGCTGGTGTGCTTTTCAACCAGCATGACCATGCTGGGTGACCAGTAGACGAGCATCAGGCCAGCATAAACCAGCTAAGACTAGCATGGAATTTTTCAACTGGGAAAGTTGCAGTAAAGATTAATGCTTTATGACAGGTGGAGCTGGTTTGCATCTTACATAAATCGTGCCTTCATAATGTAACCTAACAAAAGCTGCAGGATGAAAAAAATGATCTCATATTTACACTACACACTGCAGATTCGTTGATGTCCGCTAGGTGGCGACTGTCTCATACTGTATACTAGCACAATCAACCTTAAGGATATAAAAATGAACTTCATCAAAGAAAACTGATAGATTCTTATGATTGTTACTGTTTAAACCTAGTTCTGTAGGAGCTCTATAACAAACAAAGTAATGGTTAAG